CAACCAAACTTGCCACAAAGTATCCTTGGCTAAAGGGGATTTAAGTTGGTTCAAATGAAGGGCCACGCTTTCTTCCAAATAGAGATATTTAGAAATTAGTGAAAAATTAATGGCATCATTTGAAAATCCTCTTCTCAAGAACCACTGGGCCAGTAAAGATGAAACTTATATGGAAACATCCTCAGGTAGTGTAGATTCAAGTTTTTTCGAATCATGACCCCGGGGGTAGGGCAGGGCCGCAATGGACAATCAAAGTTTTCCATAGGAATTTATAGGAAAAATCTTTAAAAATATCCTCCTCAAGAACCACTTGGCCAGGAAAAATGAAACATATGTGGAAATAGCCTCAGGTAGTGTAGATTAAAGTTTGTTCAAATCATGACTCCAAGGGGGGGGGGGGGGGATGATCAAAGATTTACATAGCAATACATAAGGAAATCTTTAAAAATCTTCATCTCAAGAACCACTAAGCCCTGATTGGTCATGTTGATATGGAAGCATCCTTAGGTAGTGTAGATTCAAGTTTGTTCAAATCATGACTCAGGAGGTAGGGTGGGGCCACAATGGATGATCAAAATTTTACATAGAAATACATAGGAAAAACCTTCTTCTCCAGAATCACTGGGTCAGGAAAGATGAAACGTATGGAGAAACATCATCAGGTTGTGTAGATTCAAGTTTGTTCAAATCATGACCCCCCCCAGTGGGTAGGGCGGGGTCCACAATGAACCATCAAAGTTTTCCATAGGAATTAATAGATATGAAAAACCTTTAAAAATCTTCATCTCAAGAACCACTAAGCTCTGATTGGTCATGTTGATATGGAAGCATCCTCAGGTAGTGTAGATTTAAGTTTGTTCAAATTATGCCCCCCTCCCTTTAGGGATAGGTTGATACCACTCATAAAATACTGAACTCTAGTCAAAATGCTCATTTTAGCGATGTGGCCCATGGGCGTCTTGTTTTTTTTGGTCTAGTGGAAAGTTCACTAGATGTGGACTTCCATAACAGCAGCTTGCTACTTGTGTTTCATTCCTAGTTTGATGGAATTTATCCCTAAGCTTTTGTTAATTTAGGTTAAGATTCACATTTATCATCATTTTCATTATCCAAAAGCAGTGCACACCTAAGCAGAGATTCATGTTGGCTTTTAAGAAAATCTGTCATCAGTGTAAACCAATTCACATTTTCATCTTCTTCTTCAGAACCACATGGCCATTTTCTAACAAACTTGGCACATAGTATCTTTAGGTAAAGGAAAGGGATTTAAGTTTGTTTAAATGAAGGGATACACCCTTTCAAGGGGAGATAATTAAAAAGTAAAAATGGATTTGGTCATTTAAAAATCTTAAGAACAATTGGACCAGAAAAAATGAAAATTGTTTAAAAGCTTCTTGACATAGGATAGATTCATGTTTGTTCAAATCATGACCCCCAGGGGTAGGATATGACGGATCAAAGTTTAACATGGTAATATATAGGAAAACTTTAAAAATCTTCTTCACTAGAGCAGCTTAGCCATGATTAGTCATATTTAACTGGAAGCATCCACACTGGAAGCATAGTGTTGATTCAAATTTGTTCAAATCATGAACTCCAGGAGTAGGGTGTGGCCACAATGGGCAATCAAAGCTTATGAACATAGGAAAAATCATCAAAAAAATTTCTTCTCAAGATCAGCAAAAATATGATTAGTCATTAACCCCTTTATCACTGCAGTCAACTCAGCTGCTGTTATCACCAGATCGAGGAGCTAGTCTCCTGCTGCTGTGATAAGCCAGGCAGTCTGATCACATAGATAATAAGGCTAATGACTCTCTTATCTTTAATCTAATGTATATAAAAGTATATATATTCAGAAAGCCTATAGATTTTACTTTCCAACGGTATAATTTTTGCAAAGATATCATTAATTTAACTTTATTAGGGGTTAAACCTGATGAAAAATTAAAAACACATCTCAAAATTTTACTTATCATTTTTTAATTTGCATTTTTCTCATTAAAAGTGAAGGTAAACCATATAATATTTTTGCACTTATTTTATCTTTAGCTTTTCTTCTTTCAGATACACTTTACAGCAAAAAAATCCATCAAGAAAATTTAAAGTTATGATAATTTGAATGTCACTTGGTATTTTCCTGGAAAACAGAGTTTTTCATGCATCACAATACCTGAATGTTTTGTTGTAAAATCCAATGTAATATTTTCAAAATCCATCAAATAAAATACACAACATTAGCACATGTAAAAAATAAAAAATAACTTCAATAATTTTTTCAAAGATTAGCTGTTAAATTCAAAATAAAAGGCAATTTTCACCATATACGGTAACCAAAACTGATTTTCACATTATTCACTGTCTCAACATCCTCATGATGTGTTTGGACTGGCATTCCAAATGCACGGGAACATTACACTGTGAACATCCAAACTTAGTCACTCCTTTCCTTTGCCCTGGAGCCCCAGACAATGAACATTCTCGACACACTTTGTTTTTCTCATACAACTTTGTGATAGAATGTTCAGTTGCTCGCCCACCACAGTCAACCTTTGGTGCTTCTCTGGATGAACGTGTGTCGCCAATCAAGTCCTCCACAATTTCCTCGAGGAAATCTTGGAAGTTCGGCCAGCGATCCTTTCCAATTTCTGGATGGGTATCCTTAGCTACGACGTACGCATTATAAGCAGACACCATCACCAGATAAAAAAACAATCGGCGCCACAATTTCTTTGAGCGATGATGGACCATGTAGTATCCAATCATCTGGTCGCATATGTCAACTCCTTTCATATACTTCTGGTAGTCTGCTAGAAGAAGGGTACCTCAACTACATTCTGTGCTGCGGCGGCTGCTCTACGGGTCACTTGTCCTTGGTGCAAGGGGTCATGGAAATTTGACAAAACCAGTACAGGTTTTGTGTCCTGCCACGCTGTAAAGGTGAGGATATCCTTCTGTACCACCTTGTACTCATGCTTCTGTAGGCGCAGATTTTTTGGAAGGCATTCTGCTGGAAGACCTTTTCTGTTTGCTCTGACAGTGCCACATGCCATGATCCCTCGGATATGTAAATCTTTGAGAAGCTCCAGGCTTGTGTAGAAGTTGTCCATATAGACAGACAGATTGCTGCCAAACATGTAGGTACATAGGTCCATTACCACTCTGTGTGTTAGACCTTTCTCTTGGCCATCCTCTTTTCCAGTGTATACCTGAAATGTATAGTCATGTATACCCAGTATCACTCTCAGCCATAGTCCAAACCCTGATTCCCCATTTGATTGGCTTAGCTGGTAAATACTGTCGAAATCCTAAACGGCCTTTGAATTTTACCATGCTCTCGTCAATGGTGACGTTTCCATATGGTACATAAGTTTCTTTGAATTTCTTGTTTAGGAAGTTTATAAACCATCTCATTTTCCACAACTTGTCCAGCTGATCTGGCTGTACCTCATTGTTCTGCAGGTGCAAGTACCTCCAAATTTGCCTAAATCTGTCTCTTGACATCACTTTCCCAAATGAAGTACAAAATAACTACTTACTTTGTCGCCAATAGTCATTTTTTAAGGGTAACCTGAGGATTCCCATTGCAAAACATAAGCCAATAAACGCTTTGATGTCGAAGGCATTCACTGGCATCCATTTTGCTGCATACGGTGGTGGTGGGTTTTTTCTCCTCTCCTGTTCCGCATATAAGTTCATTTCCTGGACTATTCTATCCCACATTTCGTTAGTCCAGAACAAGTTAAAGTATTGTGCAGCGGAGGCTTCTTCAGGATGTTCAATTTAGCACCCCCTACCTTTCTATAGCGAGATGGTAGACGGGGCTGGAAATCCTCCGACGTCCATTGATTTTGGAAGCCCAGGAAATCGTTTCTGTCACCCGAATCTTCCGTTTATATGTTCAATAGCCAGTCGTCAACGTCTCCAAGTTGAACTTCGCGATCTATTCTGTCAATATTTTCTTCATTTACATCCAATCCATCATCTATATCATCATAATTTGAGTCAATATCGCTGCCCTCACTCAAGTCTGCATCTCTCGCCGCCATGTTGCTTTCGTTTTGTAAACCGACGCATCATTTCTTTGTTTCTTCTGGAATTTTCCCCTCATAAATAGGTGTCTAGTTTCACTTTTTATTGCGCATGATCAGTGGAAATTTACCTAAGTCTGATTCGTATAGACGTTTTCTTTTTAACTTACCATGTAACAGTTTATTAAGCGTCTGAATAACAGCGTTTGTGTACTACCACTGGAGTTGTATCCCATACGAAATGGTAGACTACGACTCGAGTCTTTTCTCGTGCGAAAGGGGTTAAAATTTAAGCATACTCAGGTAGTGTAGATTGCAGTGTGATCAAATCGTGAGCCCTGAGGTTAGTTTGCGGCCATTATATGTTTTACATAAGAATGTGTAGGATAAAGAATCTGCTGATGAATAACAGAAGGGTGAGCATTGTGGCCCATGGGCCTCTTCTTAAAACATCTACCTTTAAAATATCACTGACCGTGACAATGTCTGGCTAGGAGAGCTTCAATAAAAGCAACTCGACATCAGCTCAGTAGACCCATAACTTAACTCATAAGTAAAAGTTCAATAATAGGGATTTCAATTTAACCAATACTTTATTGGTAAGAGAATGGAAAAAACAGAAACCTGGAATTAAGTTTGATTTTAAAATGAGTGATATTTCAAAATAAGCAATTTCAATATTAGTGGAGCAGGCTGTATGTATAATAACCCATCAGCTTTTTTGTTAAATCCTAATAATGAACTCAGTTTGATTTATCAGAGGCCCTTTGACCATTCTATAATTAAGCACTAAATGAATCATACAATGCTGTATGTAAATAAATATATCTTTAAAGATTTTTACATAATTTACAAAAGTTACAGTCAAAATTTTAATGATTGCATTCAGTAGGTTGAATGCAATCAAGCAAAATCTTTTTTAAAGGACACCTCTGTTGTTGTTAAGGAGGCGATATTTCTTTGTTTCAGTCTTGTGAGAAGGCACTGAAGGCTGTATTGTATGGTCAGGATGCCAACATTTCCAACCTCTATAGGACTACCCATGACTTGTCCTTGCTTGCCTCGGCTTCTCCCTCCCTTGCCTCAGCTCGTGACCCAGTGAATGAGTTTGCTAGAAATATCACCAATCTCCACACCACAATGAGATACCCTTCTGATGGACAGCTACCTGGAGACAGGTTTACCAAGGTGCAAGCCGAGAAAGCTGTGAGCATTGCTCAGAGAGTTATTGAGGCATGCGAGAACTGCTTAGTGTGTTGACCAAAAAAAAAAAAAACGAGTTATTGAGGCATGCAAGAACTTCTTAGCTTCAATGTTCAAGGTTCAATGATCATGTACTAATTAACATAATGAATCCTTTAATTGTAGAAGATACAGGTATATCAAAGTGCAAATCTTTTTTTGTTTTTTTTTTAAATATGTTTGATAATTTTTTTGAATTCATTTAGATTTCACTGTATTGTAGAATGGTTAATATTTCTATATAGGTTGTGATGAGAGCTTTACCATATTTAGATAATTCTTTTTATCGTAGCATTACATGTGAAGCTATTTTTTTTACAAGTGTACAATCTATCTTTACAAGGTCTCTAATTTATGTATTTCTTTATGGGTGTATTTTTTTGCAATCTGTCTTCTTTTTTTTTTTTTACAAAGTACACAATTGGGAGAATGATATGCAAGCATTTACATATGTCCACCTCTGGGCTAGAATATGACCAAAGTAGAGAAAAAAAATTTGCACATGATCACTTTAAAATCTCCATTACAATAAGTTTAACCAAGAAGGCTCCATTCACACAAATTTTTTTTAGGAAATTGTAAATCAGGTTAGTGTCATAGTTCATAGGCCTCTTGTGTGTTTTTATGAATACTCACTTTAGTGATATATGTATAGCTTAGATATTGTTATAGAAATGCACATAGAGTAAGCTACTTGTATCTGAGTGAAATATTTTTTACAGGGTATGTGCCTATACACTTGTTACAACTGATGCTCTTGTTGTGTGTTTATAATTCTTACTTTAGTGATATATATATATATATATATATATATAGTTTAGATATTGTTTAGAAATGTACTTAGAGTAATCTACTTTTGAGTGAAGTATGATGATTTTTCTAACAGGATATGCCGATACATTTGTGGCAATTGCTGAAAAAACTATTGATAACAAATCCATCTAAATTTTTTAACAAAAATGTTATTCTTAGGTTTCTTTTTTTCATATTATGCTTTTATTTTTTTCTTATGTCTTTTTATATGCTGGTCCATTTGCTTTCCTTATAATCTTTGCTTTTTTTTTCTTTTTTTTTTTTTGGGGTTGATAAATAACTTTTATGTATGTGTGTTAATATATCTGTTGTAGTTGTAATTGTTAGAGATGATGTTGCGGATTTGAAATTAAAGATTTGCAGTGAATGCTTTGTCCTTTTTGATTACTTTTTTTATGCCCCTTAATTGGAGATCTGGTTGCGTATAGTTTTTGGGCTGCATTTCGATCATTTCTGGAATTTTTTTAATAAAAATTCAACTTTTTATTTTTAACATTTTACAATTTTCATTTCCGACATTTTACAGTTTTCATTTCCAACATTTATCATAAAGTTTTTTCCCCCACAATGAACACAGAATGTAAGACTGTATTTTAAAGAATAAATTGAGAATAAATCATTGATAATATCCAACATAAATTCAGCAGAGTAACTGATAAATAATTCAGTGAATAAAATTGCATGCTCATTTAACTCGTACAAAACTTTTAATTAGATTCACTGCTGCATGTATACTGTATGTACTTAAAAAAGCGGGCTTCATATTTTAGCAGCTTTGGCAGGGATGACAATGCGCTAATTCATGAATACTTTTAATAAATTATTCATTATAAAGACTATACAAGGCACAGACGTATGTTAAGTGCTAATTCATGATTATGCCAACCACTCAGTTCCCAATGATTGTGCTAAAATTTGAATATGTTAATTTATGTACAGTATACAGTGTATTGTAATAATTTTTTTTTGAAAAATGTTTTTATGCCCTGCCATGAATGTGGTCGGGGCATATAGTGTTTGTCATATCCATCCTTCCGTCACACTTTGCGTTTAGCTCTGTTCAAAGCTCAGTTTCAAAGAAACTATCCAAGATATTTTTATCAAACTTCATATGCTGATAGATATTGATGAGGACTATGCAACTGCATCAATATTTTTTTACCTTGACCTTTCCTTTGACCTTGACCTCACTTTTCTTAAATAAGTGTCAAACTTCATGTGCTGATACATACTGGTGTAAGCTATTCAACTGCATCAATATTTTTGGACCTTGACCTTTCATTTGACCTTGACCTCACTTGTCTCAATTTGTGTTCAACTCAGTTTTAAAGAAACCATTCATAATATTTTTTTATCAAACTTCATATGCTAATACATACTGATGTAACCTTTTCAACTGCATCAACATTTTTTGACCTTTCCTTTGACCTCAACTTTATTATTTTAAATTAGTGTTTAGCTCAGTTTTAAATAAACCATTCAAAATATTTTTATCAAACTTAACATGCTGATACGTATTTGTGAGAACTATTCAGCTGCATGAGAAATGGTTGACCTTGAACTTATCTGTGACCTTGACCTCACTTTTCTTAAATTTGCATTTTGCTTAATTTTAAAGAAACCATTTAACATATATTTATGTAAGCTCATGCACTAATTCATAATTTGGTAAAAATTTATCTATATGCAACTTTTTAGATTTCGATTTCAATTTTAAAGAAACTATTCAAGATATTCTCATCAAATTTCATACACTAATACAAATTTTCATTTTGCATTACTAATATACCCTCGGCGGGTCATTCATGTCCTATGGACATATTTCTAGTTTGAAATAAGTTTAATATTTATACCCACACTATCTAAAGAAAGTTCGGGTATATTGTTGTTACTCATGTCTGTCCGTCCGTCTGTCACACTCTTCTTTTTCAAACTCCTCTTACATTTTACACAGTAGCCTAATCATCTTTTGGGAGATGGTTGGTGGTGTCATGTAGATGTGCAGCAAGATTTCGACATTTTCATTTTTACCCTGGGGGTCAAATGGGGGTTGAAAAATGACGTTTTTTAATGCAAAAAGCCCCTGGTTCCCTGAACTCCTTACATTTTACACAGTAGCCTAATCATCTTTTGAGAGGTGGTTGGTGGTGTCCGGTAGATGTGCAGTAAGGTTTTGGAATTTTCATTTTCACCCTGAGGTCAAATGGGGGTCGAAAAATGACGTTTTTTATGCAAAAAAGCCCCTGGTTCCCAGAACTCCTCCTACATTTTACACAACAGCCTAATCATCTTTTGGATTGATTATGATTGATTATTATTGTTTAACGCCGAGTTGGCAATATTTCAGCCATATTTCGGCGATCATATTAAGTGTATATTCCCATTTATGAATTATGACACAAATTTAAGAAAAGTGAGGTCAAGTCAAAGGAAAGGTCAAGGTCAAAAAATATGCAGTTGAATAGCTCTCATTAGTATGTATCAGCATATGATGGTTGATTTAAATATCTTGAACGATTTCATTAAAACTGAGCTCGGTCCTTCGGATGAGACCGTATAAACCGAGGTCCCGTGTCGCAATAGGTGCTGGCACGAAAAAGACCCTTCACTCCTCAATGGCTGTAAGTGGCGAGTATAGGACAAAATTTGCAAGTGGTGGCGTCTCCATATGAGTGAAAAATTCTGGAGAGGGACGTTTAACAATACACAAACAAACATTAAAACTGAGCTAAACACTAATTTAAAAAAAGTGAGGTCAAGGTCAAAGGAAAGGTCAAGGTCAAAAAATATTGATTCGTTTGAATAGCTTACATCAGTATGTATCAACATATGAAGTTTGATTACACTTTCTTGAATGGTATCTTTAAAACTGAGCTAAACACTAATTTAAGAAAAGTGAGGTCAAGGTCAAAAGAAAGGTCAAGGTCAAAAAATGTTGATGCAGTTGAATAGCTCTCATCAATATCTATCAGCATATGAAGTTTGATAAAAACACCTTCGATAGTTTCTTTGAAATTGAGCTTTGAACAGAGCGAAACGCAAAGTGTGACTGAAAGACAGACGGAAGGATGAAAGGATGGAAGACGGACATGACAAACACTATATGCACCGGCCATATTCATGGCAGGGCATAAAAACAAGGTAAAAAATTCTGTTTGCATGCACCCTTTCTCCATACCACCTCTCCATGTTCCAAGATTGAAGTTTTAATGTCAAAAGGTTCTTAAGTCATGGTTTGGAGGTGTTTTTCTCAATTTGACCTTGAATGAAGAAAGGAGTCAAGGTCAACATTTTAGTGCAGTGCATCTTTTGTAAATGTCTCTTTTCTATGTTACAAATTTGAAATCCCAATGTCAAAGGGTTCTCTGGTTATAGCCTGGCTTATATTTTTATGTAAAGGTTGACCATGACCTTATTGAAAGGTCAAGGTAAAAAAAGTTTGGTGGCCTCAACCCCAATTCCATACCACCTCTCCATGTTTCAAGTTGGAAGTCTTAATGTCAAAGGGTTGTCAAGTTAAGGCTCGGACAAATTTTGATTGAAGGAGAAAACTGACAACAAGTCAGGTGATTGTTCACAGTGAGTACTTTTCAAGCATAATTGATCAAGTTCATTTCTGCCTACTGAAAATACTGATCTTGAGCAAATTTAAATAGGAGTTCCAAGTGAAAATTGTAACAAACCACTTTAAAAGACTTCTGGCTGTGTCCTTTTGTAATTATAGATATAGATCAAAGACAAGATAGTGAGTAAACTTATTTTTTGGGGGGGAGGGATAACATTCTTGCTGCAGTATGAATTGGTGTAAAATCCTAAAAAGTCATCAATTTAAAAAAAAAAATAGTCTTATAATTCCACTTTAATTTTGACTCAAGTAGATGTTAGAGAGAGAGAGAGAGGTATTACTCCAGGTATATAGCCCCATGCAATATATATATATATATATATATATATATATATATATATATATATATATATATATATATATATATATATATATATATATATATATATATATATATATATATATATATCTGTGATAGCAAATTCTCAGGAGACAATTTTTGAAAAGCAATTTTCCTTCATGCATTGTTTTCAGAAAACTCAAAGCTGAAAATTTTAAATTTATACCCATATCTACATTTTACAACTTTAATCTATATTTATGGAATGCCATAGCTGCCTTATGTGGTTATTTCATGTGAAGATGGTGCTTTTTTATGTTATGCTGTGCTTATTTCATGTGAAGATGGTGCTTTTTTTATGTTATGCTGTGGTTATTTCATGTGAAGATGGTGCTTTATTATGTTATGCTGTGGTTATTTCATGTGAAGGTGGTGCTTTTTTATGTTATGCTGTGGTTATTTCATGTGAAGATGGTGCTTTATTATGTTATGCTGTGCTTATTTCATGTGAAGGTGGTTTGTTATGTGAAGGTACCGGGGGGGCACGGGGGGGGGGGGCCGTGCCCCCCCCCCCAATAATTTTGCCGATATATAGATTACTATAG